AGGTGCACCTAAGCAGTCGTTTCATTATTCCCAGGCACACTGAATGCATATAGTCCGTAGGAAATGTACCAACCATATCAATGGGAATCTGCTCAAAGGGAGACAATTCTGTGTGATGGTCATCTTGAAGTCGGAGGCGGAAATCGTAGTCCGTCCTTAGTTTACCTCCACGAGCCTTAAATACCATTCGGCGAGAACAACTGCTACCATTCTGAGTACAAAATGGACAGCAGTAATAGCCCGTGTGTGGTTTAGTTTCTTTCACCAATGCCTTTACTGGAGCATCAGCAATGACACTGTCCAGCTGCACACTATGCCAGCAACCGTATTCGACAACCGTATATGGGGATCGGTTGGAAGTTGCGGAAGAATTTATCGGAACTCTTGCAACATCAATTTGACGGCAATCATGGAGAGCCGAGCCTTGGAAGCAAATCTTCGCGCCACTTGAAATGCACACCGTTTGTTTGATAAACATGAGTGATTAATGTTTAGCACTAACTGTAACCTACCAGATAGCTCAGTTTGTGGCGACCTATTAGACGACGATGGTAAACAATCATCTGCATGAATCTTTTATTCGACAAAAAATAGGATATGAAAATACAATCACTGTTAGCCTCACGCAACAGTTGCAACTGTTGCTCCAGTTCATCGAAGTATTTACGGTGTGTTTTGGAACAATCAATCACATCCTCCGTATGGGATTCAGGAGTGGACCTTTGGTCAAATGAGATCGAATTGCGTCAAAATGTGTCTTACGTCTCCACCAAGGAATTTGTTGATCTAAGTGAAACATTTACCTGATCAAAATGTACCCCTGTCTGGATACAAGTGCTGTCTGAACGTTCATCTGGGACAAGAGTTATGTCAACTGCATAAAACATTACATTCACTCATAACACCAACGTTTTCTTCCTGCAACAGTACCCCTGTAATTGAGCTACGTGCTAGCGACAACGGCTGCACGATTCGTTCAATTTCATTATGCATACGTCTCCACTTAGCAGTACGTGACACGTGTCTTGCTGGATTGACATTTCATCTATTATATACGAATACCATTATGTTTTACATTATCAAATGAATAACTATATCCAGGCAGCTTATAACTATGAACTCAGATAACAAATACCCGGAGAGAGGCTCACCGTGAGTACGAACAACATCGAAACAATATAGCGTATTCTGGTTCGAAGGTCAGTTCATTTAAACAAATTAAAGTCAAAATCGTTAGAATACAATTTTCAAGGGTGTAAATGAATGAAAATAAACTACTTATAAATAAATAAGAAAATTTAGGATAGTTTAGTGAGCCAAAAACACTGCCAATGCAAAATATAACATTAAAAAGTAGATTTCAATGAAATAAAAAACCATTCATTCATGGCAAATGGTTGGTTATATCTTGATTTTTTATAAGCCATTTGCACAATCAGTTTGAAATTTTATACAATAATTATCGAGATACCCCCGGTGACAAAACGGTAGCTCTCGAGTGTAGCCCTGTGCTGACTGGGTGAACAATAAAGTAAATCGAGGAAAACACATTGGTACACAAATTTGGAAATAATTGCTTGTTGAATACGAAACTAACGAGGTTTAAATATATGGAAAGAGATTGTTGCTCCGTACAGAAATTCACAATTAGGTGTTTAGGTGCATTACCCAAATCCTCCAAATGATTAATCCATTGTAAGAAGGTTAGAAAGAATATTTTCCATGTCGTTCAGAGAGTACAAATATCCGGAGCTCCAGTCCACCCGGGGAGGGTGGGGATGATAGGCATGAGTAACTGCATCTAGAGATTTCATGTACTGTTATCTGATACCGGATGTTTTAGTTGGACGGTAATACAAAAAAAAAAACATTAAATTGTCTTATTCCTGATTTCACAAAATAGAAGTCAGTGAAGCTGGTCCACATTCGAGCAAGTAACATCACAAAATCTTAGCATGCATAGCGTGTGCATACCGTAGCCTTACAACCCACAGCGACCAGAATCTATCGAAAAAATAGAGAGAATTTCAAAAGAATAGGGACAATATCACCCTGCCAACACAGCGTTGCTTTTTACGCCCCCAATATGTTCCAAAATTTGCACTTGGTGCTCCCAGTTCACTCCAGAATTCGCAATTTTTAAATAAGACCAAGATGAGCCCGTGTATACATGGCAATCTTCCGAAGTGATTGTTTGTTTTAGATGTTTGCAAGTGGTTTCAATGGCGGGCCGCCATTACCATTCTGCTGTTCGCTTGTACGCCTCGTGCTATCGGTGCCTACTGTTGATTTCTCATCTATCTCCATTGTTTTACTCGTCGTAATCGTTTGTAAATATTTTCGATATGTAAGAATCTCGTCATACCTTGAATAAATTATCTCGTGGAACAAGTAGATGGATCATTTAGCGGCAGTTTCACAACACTACCGATGACTAACGTTTCCTATCGTTTGAACCGTATGGTAACCCTTCGACTGATCGTTTCTCACTTCCTAAACATTTCTTGTGCAATGGCATATTTCAGTAAATTGATAGAATGAAAACAAAAAAAAAGATCCCTACTACAGATTGGTTCATTCGATACTGTTCATTCGCTTGGTCTAACTTTCCTGTGTGAAAATTCATGAGCACCGAATAATTCAAAGTTAAAAAAGGGGTTTTCATACATTGGTCACTTAACTACAAAACCAACACCGCCTGTTAGTGAACTAATTGCGGGGTAATCGTCAATAGGTGTTTACCAGTAATTTCGCTTGTCTCGGCCCTTGTTGTTTACCGAGGCAGCGAGGGAAAAAAGTAAAGGGTGATCAAACTCAAACCTAGCGTGAGAGTATGAAAACCCGAATCAGGGGACTTGCTCATATAGACAGCGTTACGCTTCCTGGATAGGGACTCCCGGATAATCGTAACCGACACTGATTGATATGGCTGAGTGTCACACGCAGGAATACTCGTGCATCTACTCATTCTCTTCGCAACCTTAGCCCATGTGTTTTCTCTATAGCTTCTCTCTCTCTCACTCTGCTCGCAACATTCTATTCTTCCTCTCGCTCTTTTATCCAAATAGACAGTCATGAGACAGCAATAAAATTAGCGCACGAGAGTGCACGGTCAAAGGTTGTAAAAACTGAAACTGACTTTCCCCAGTCCCCAGAACGGAAATGAAACAAAAAAGAAACAAACAGAAAAGAAGTGATGATGGAGCTCATTTATCTACTCGTTTAAAATAGAGATTTGGCGAATGTATGCCGCCAATTTCGGTCGGCATGATCTGGATTGCCCAAAATCCTCCGTGCTGTGACCTTG